TTTTTCATCAGGAGAATATGTACATTGTGTTACACAACTTAAAGCTTAATGTTGACGTCAAAGAGGACTGCTAGAAACACACACACACACACACACACACACACATATAAGGTGATGATACAGTGTAAGAACCAGCTGGAGACAGAAGATGTTTTTCCGTGTTTCCCAGGTTCGTCTCTGGAAAGGAGATCAAGAAGAAAAAGTGTCTTTTTGGGCTTCAGGTTCGAGCCCCTCCACCGCTGACGTCCGATTCGTCGCCGCTCATCACCGACCCACCTATCAACATCACGCACCGGAGAAGGTCAGAGTAAGGACACCGTCTCTCATTTTTTGGCTCTTATCTCAGTAAGAGCTGTGAGATTCCCACAGGGCATATAGTCATTATGCATGAACAATTAACTTAGGAATCAAAAGACTGCAATTTTCATATAGCAGCACAAGTATCAGCGTCTCAATATTTTCCTAAAAGAGCAGAAAGCTCCCCTGCGTGCTTTCGTGTGATTATCCACCCAAGTGTGTGTGCACATGCATCTGCACGTGTCCTGTAGATTTCATAGACATCATAAATCATTTTTAGTACTTAGCTGGTGCGTATTGAGACTGAATTACAATGGAATCATTTGCAGAGTGGAGCAGTCTTGAAGGGAGGATTTTCATTTCACAAAACCATCGTATGATTTATGAAACACAAATTTAAAATTTATCCGAACAGAATCCAGATATGTATATTAGAGATGTAACACGCGTTGTCTTTGCGTACCCAAATATCTACAAATTCCCTCTGCTCAGACAGCAGGTTTGTTGGTTCAACTAGTTTTGTCAGTTTTCTGTAAATGAGCAGCCAGCCACATCAGAAGCATTAAGCAGTGCATCCCTTTTAAGAGATATCGTTTGTTCAAGTTCATTTTCATCTTATAGAGGGAGCCAGCAGTAAAGAAAGCAGATATTAAAGGATACTGAGGGACATTTGAGACATCTGAATGGACATTGTTCTCAGTATTAGGTTTAAAGTACTTACAAAAGATATCAGTTGGTTATTTTGTTAAAGCAACATAGGATATGATTGCTTAGTAGCACCGAGCTGGGGAGGCATGTAAAGGCTGATATATAAGTTGGTGTTTTAAATCTGATTTTGAGGAAAGAATGTTCTATGCATAGCTCTATATTAGGGGTGCAACGATACTCATATCGATATTGAACCGTTCGCATATGTATCGAACAATACAAATTTTTTAATTTATTTTATCAACTTTCCTTCTGACGATGCTGTCTGTGTTGAGCGCTCAGTGGATCTGCGCTCGACAGTGCAGCCTAGGCGGAGTAGTC